CCTTGGGGACCCAACGCGGCGGAGAGTGTCTTCGGAGGGCGTGCCAAGGTAGTGCAGGATCTGGTTGAGTTGGTCGACGTAGCTGCATAGAATAAAGCATGAGCGGCGTATGCCTCCGATGCGTAGTTGCGCTTACTCCCTGCCCTTGAAGATCGGCTTGCCGGCGAGCAGCTCAGCAAGGATACAGCCCACACTCCACACATCAATAGCGGGGCCCTTTAATGCAGGGCATAATCAGCTTGAAGGTAGGCGAAAGGAGCCTCGCACATACATAATTTGCGAAGCTCAACATGATTTCCGGGGCGCGGTACCACCGTGTCGCGACATACTCGGTCATGAAGCCTTGGTTCGCCGAGTTCTTCGCCGTGCCCTGACCACTGCCCGCAGGACTGTACCCTCGCGCGAGACCGAAGTCGCAAATTTTGAGCTCGCAGTCGGCGTTTACCAGAAGGTTACCCGGCTTCAGGTCACGGTGGAGGACGTTCGCAGAATGGATATATTTGAGGCCGCAGAGGGTCTGGTAGATGAACGACTGGAAATGTGCGTCTGAGAGAGGCTGTTGTGATCGGATCTGGGCTGGAGATTGAGAGGCCTGAGATAGGAGAGATGAACAAGCGCGTACGATGGCGTGGAGGTCGGCCTCCATGAGCTCTTCCTGCGCATCGACCGCGGATCAGATGGCGATCAACGCACGCGCATAGAAGATGAGTACGCACATAGAGATAGACCTCATCAAAGTTGCCGTCTGGGCGGAAGACGATGTCCATATCATATAGACAAGTAATCTAGCAATACATGAGCCGTGCAAGCGATCGTACGCGCGCTCGCACACACATTTTTGTGACCTCGGAAATGGTGCAGAAGCCTGAGGTCAATCAACATGAGAAGCGCCTTGAAGCAAAAGCGAAGCATGGCTGCTCACTTGATCTCGCGGAGACATCTCTTGGTGAGGATCCTCTGCACGAACGCTTCTCTGAACGGGAGCGCAGTGGGTAAACGAAAACAGACTTACCTTGGTATTGATATTGGTGATTTTCTTGATTGCGCATCCCTCACCAGATCTGCGGTGTTTGGCTGCGACGACGCAGCCATACGCGCCCTGACCGAGTTCCTTCACGAACTGATACTCGGAATCGACGACGAAAGTAGAGTTGAGCGCCTGGAAGGAGTGCCTCTGCATTGCGGGGACGACAGGGGAGGTGGTGGGAGGAGAGATGGGAACTACGGTCACTGCCGTGGAGGAGGACGAGGGCGAAGTGAGGGAAGAGGACGAGGCGGGGGAACTGAGGCGAGACGGGCGGTGCGTATATGAATAATCTCATTAATGCATCTTGTATGTATGAGGCCCCGATCGGATCGATAGAGGCGCCCTATGTAGCCATTCATATATGGCAAGTCCTGAGGAACGCAACACCGCCTGCCAGCCGCCGTTGCATCGGCCACAGCCCCCGCATCGCTGATCTCCTGCACCTCCTCGCCATCCCGCAATCGCGTGCACCCCTCGTCCTAGAGACAAGTCCGTCATGTGGACGCGGGATCCATGAGGCTGACGTCCACCGCGCCCTCGACACAACTTCCTGCATTTAAAGATAAGTTTGGAGCCTACAGGGCTAGTCCACACAGCACAGCATCGCTGAGCATTCTCGGGATCTGTCGGGAATAAGATAAATAACGCGTCAACCCCTTCTCCTGACAGATCTCTCTCATCCCACTCACTCGACAACCGCCCTTCTTGTCTCGACCCCGTGCGCCCGGGCCCGGAGCCTCGTGTTTCACCCAACCCCCTCCAGGATTACCGCCCTTCACCGCATGGATCGACAAGATCAAACATTTCCTTTCGAAACCTCGCAGTTCACCTCGTCCCTGGCATCGATCATCGCAAACTTCGACGAGGAATGGCTGGATCATCGCTCTTCATCATACTCTTTGCGGTGCGGAAAAGCGTGTTACACCTCCCTGTGGCTGCGTTGTAGAGCGATGTCAAAATCATTTCTCCATTGGCCATGGCGTTCTCTATAACTCCGACTGTTTTGTGATCTCGGGATGCCCCGTTGCATGATCACAGATCGGCCGCACTAGGTTGAAAGCAAGACGAACTCGAGGGAATGGAGAAGCGCACAATGAGACCGACGATGGCCATGCACACTTTCTTGGGCAAGGAGCGGCAAGTCTGATGAGGGCCTTGTTTGATGAGATGGTCTATGTATGTATTAGGTGATCGGAAAGGATTGGTGCGTGCGGAGCAGAGTTCTTCGAGCGTGTTGTACGCGAGTTGGTGGCCATGCAGTTGTCGAGCTCGGAATGAAACTCAAAGTCGGGCACACCGGCGCAGTGCAGTATGCCCGCTTGGGCATCGTATAATCATCTACTGAGCATAGACTCGCGCAGGTGTCACCAGATGTATTTTTGGTTTGCCATCTGACATCTAGACTATGTACGAGATCGCACAGGGCTATTCAAATTTAAACCGGGGACTATGCTCACCCCCGTGTTACTCGACTGCTTTGCCAGTAGACTTGTCATTTCTGCGCTATGCAGTAGGACATGCATACTTACCGGTCACCAACCTCGTATTGTGAGCGTATCCTGACACATTTGCATCAGTCCAGCCAGACCAATTTGTCCGCGGTCTGCACATCCTCAGTCAAGTCCGCAAAGCGTCCCCGCGCATGGTTGCCGGAGCTCGAGCTGGACTAACCTGAACCCACTGCCGGTCTGCCCGGGGAGGCCTCCCCTTCCCCACGACTCGGGGTCGAGACCCATGCACCATTCCATTGTTAAGATTGCAACTGCGGATTGAACCTAAGCATCTGGGAAGTGTCGGTGAGCGAAACGCGCAAGGTATAGTAGATCGGATGACATGTTGGTTTCCTTTCCGTCCGCCGATTTCAAAGCACTTGTGGAAATATTGGAGCTGACACAGATGTACGCGTCAGCATACAGTAGTGTACATTGAGGTTGACATTAGTTCGGTCCGACAAATCATGATGATGACTAGACTTGGAACGACATAAAGGCTAGGGCCAGGAGATCAGCCTAATCTACGACCCAGGCCGCAACTGCGGCCAGATGCATGCAACTCAGACGTGCAAGCACGGCAAGATCGGTGACTACTGTTCCCGCCTGAAACGACTGAGATAGGTCATTGATATTGCTTGCATCTAAGATGCCAAACCGTGCACAAGGAGAATCCATACGGCATACACTGTATGTCATGCACGATATGCCTGCGGACTTGAAAACCCCGAACGGCTGCCACACTCCGAGTCCTTGATCTCCTTGAATCTCATCAGTCATCCTTAACGATACCACCCTTCTTCATGTTCCAACCCAGCTGTTCGTATGTCCACCCGAATATCAACCCATCGTCCGTATAGTTATGGTACGTCAAAAGCGACTTGTGCATGCCAGGCCGCTTATAAATGTTGTTGAGCAAAACCACATCGTCTTCAGCCAGGTCTAGGAGCTGTCCTTGACACTTCAGTGCGCTACTTCATCTGAAAAGGGCGGGGAACACACAGTTATGTTTGCTTTCATGCGCTCAATGTTCTCGCTCTTCGGGATGACGATCATCCCACGCTTAACTCCCCAGCTTATGACGACCTGTGCGGGCGATGCGCCGTGTTTCTCGGCGATGCCAACGACATCAGGATCGGTGAAGAAAATCGGCTTTGCCTGTCCAGGCAGCGGACGTCCTAATAATGTGTAAATTTGTCCGAAAGACTAGCACGAGAATTTTATTCTTACCGAGAGGTGAATACGCGGTGATCAAGATCCCCTTCGACTCACAGAACTCTTGCAACTCGAAGGACGGTAGGCATGGGTGGACCTCGACCTGGTTCGTCACTGGGACAACTGTGCAGTACGATAGCAGCTCGTTGAGCGTCTTGATAGAGAAGTTGGACACGCCGATGGACTTCACTTTCCCTAGCATAGGTAACCATGCATGAACTATATACATTATGACTGCCATTTAGCGTGCCGCGCGTACCATTGTTGAGCAGTTGCTCCATCTGTCTCCATGTATCAACGACAGTGGGGTACTGGCCGTATGGGATATGCTCGCCTGAGTCAGAAAACGTCAACAGCGAAAAGGTAACAGCTTGGTCGCCGTACCGTCTTCTGTGTCAGATTGCGGCCAGTGCACGAGATACAGGTCAACATAGTCTAGGCCGAGAGCCTTGAGTGATGTCTCGAAAGACTCGTGGACCTTATGATGGTGCTTGTTCCTATCTCGAACGCTCAGTCAGCAGCATCAGGGAATGCGACGTGTCATACGGTAGCTTCGTGGTCACGAAGATCTCCTCACGAGGAATACCTGATTCACGGATTGCTTTACCGACGTGCTCTTCATTTGCTAGGGAACATTATGTATGTTAGGCCAAGGGCTCGGCCATATAAGGGGCTGCTCGCCATATCCAAATGCCTGTCATACGTACCCTGGTCAACTGCTGCATCTAGGCGCAAGTCACGAAACCGCTCACAGTATCCAAATGACGGTACCCGTGCTATTTCGCCGTCAACGAATGCGCACACACCCACGAGGTAGAATTCACCTTCAGGGCGTTCTTGACCATAATCTCAACTGTCTCTCCACCACCTGGAGAGCCCATCCAGCATCTAAACAGCCATAAGCTACTGTACTTCGCTCAATGGTGAGACTTACCCCATGCCGATTGAAGGGACCTTAAGCCCGTTGTTGAATGTGAAGTACGGGACGCTTGCTGCCATGGCTGCAATGAGAGACGACTCGAAGGAGGGTATGAATCAGCATGACTGCAGACGGGGCTCCGTCTTATATCGTGGGGGACCCTGCGAACGCCGAAGTGGCAGGAATGGTCAGAGTTGGGATCAGAGTGGATTAAGAGTGATCATGCTCAGTCGTCCTTAGCCTCTTCCCCTTCGCCGGCCCGTCCACGCAGCGCTTGTGCGATCATGCACACCGAAGTACTTCCGGCAGTGACTTGTACATAGACAATGCTGAGCACCGCCGCTGCCGAGGTCCTGTAGTGTAGTGGTTTATCACTTGGGATTTTGATGACTATGTTCCCAAAACCCAGGTTCGAACCCTGGCCGGACCTTTACTTTTGCCCCGCATCCGCGATCGTTCGTGTTCTTCTCAGGAGAAGCGCGTCACACACCTTTCAGTCACTGGCATGCCGTAGCTACAGCTTAGGGCCCATACTGATTCCTATGTTCGCACTAGCTTGCAGTCATCAAATTCACCCCCGCACCCCCCTTTCCCCCGACTACCAAAGAATATGATCTGAATCTCTTGCAAGGGAGCAGGAACGGTTACGTCTGAGTTCACCCACGAGTGGTCACTCCAGTCCTGTCTTGGCTCCGCGCATTGGCTAATAGATGCAATATGTGTACAATACATTGTCCCTTCGTAACATAGAGAAGATCGCTGCTAATACCCTGACGGTCGTGCGCCCATTCGCGACGTGTCATACGCTCTGATCAGCCGTGCTTGATCTTGGCGTGCAGCGTTCTCGGTTTGGCTAAATGCAAACCCCCTGTTCCGCCGCATACGCTGTACTGCGCGCACCTTCTTGATCGCTTTCTGGAACCTGGGGTGTACACTCGTTAAAACCGACTCACACGACGGGACGGCATACGTACTGTTCTTGTCGTGGCCGATAATCTGGTATGTTGTACTTCTGAATCTCCTGAGCGATATGGTACGTTTCGGGTCGATATGTACGCCGATAGCTAATTAGAGCGTCAGTACCTCATCAGTCATTGAGGTACTCATGATATCGGGCAACTCACTATTTCCATGCGAAGTCTCTTGTAAGACAGAAGATCGGAACAAGGATAAGCATGAAGTAGAAGACAGCGTCGGTCCATAATCGAGGTACGAGACCATAATACTCCGTTGAGAAACCGATAGCGGGTGCGACGACGGCGTATATCGGTAAGAACACCATGGCGAAAACGAACGATCCCGGGATCGCTGGAGCATCTCGTTAGTTGATGCTCAGAAGGCAAGCGTCGGGGTCCATACCTGCGACAGTATACTTTGTCCAGAGGCTACAGTTGATGGATGTCAGCAAGGCAGCAAAAGCGACAAACTGCAGACGCACTCCGATATAAGAGCAGCTTTTCCGAGGACGGTGAGTAAGACAGCCATGTACAGCATCGTACCCCAGAACCAATGTCCGGAGTCATAACCCGTCGACTGCTTCAAGTCGCCCCAGAAGAGAATAACAGAGAAGCCAAACAGGATCTGAACCGACGCGTCAGATGGATGTACGCTCCACCCCACAAGAAGATGGTACGTACTATGCTGTGATAGAGGGCATTCGCCACCCATAGCCAGAAGGCCGTTTTGGTGAAGAACACATTACGTTGACCTAGCATATACAATTGCGGATATCTGTCTAATATCCGAGCGGAGACGAACTGATCGAAAACACCAATCACGAATGGCGGTAAGACAGTGAAGACGACGTTGTACAAAGAGAGCGTCCACGATTCATACACAATTTCGCCCGAGAAGCTGTTGAAGAACGAGTACTAGGAAGCATATATCAGCTACACTGCCACGATTCTGAACAGGCGTTAGCTTACCCAGAACTGAGTCATGTACAATACGATGTTCTTGTAGAACGAGTCTGACGGGACGTCAGTCCCAGACGCATGTGGACAGGGATAAAGACTCACAAAGCAGGAGCTTCGACAGTCGCTGATAGCTCCAAGACCCGTGTACAAGCAACAGCTTCTTGAGGAATCGGAATTGGGAGATAGCTACGTCCGCGGATCGAGCAGCTTGCAGACCCTCAAGACCAGAGATACCAACGCCAACATGGGCTGCCTGAATCATGCTGACGTCGTTCGCGCCGTCACCGATAGCCAGTAATATAGACTTCTGGTTTTTCTTGACGAGCTTGACGACGAGCGCTTTCTGTAGTGGCGAAACGCGACCTGGAATGGTAGTGAGCCTGTGGCAGCTCCACGAAGCATGGAACACCAGACGCACAGCAAATAACAGCTTTGCACATGAGCGCGAGTTCCAGGAACTGAGTAGATATTTCTTTCTCAAGCGCATAACCGAGACTTTTGCCATCTGTACTACGTGAGCCAGTGGAAGTCAAAATTCAACGGTGAACGCACCGATGATGAGCGCCAGGTCCTCAAGCTCGCTCAACTCTCCGGTACTCCGCTGACTCTTGACCGCCGAAAGCCGCTTTGAGATGAACTCCTGCGTGTCAAGCATCGTCTCCTCGTTCACGATGATCAAATTCATCGATTCTGAGATGAGCTTGCACGACATGCCAATGTTGATGGCGGTCTCCTGCCGGTCACCCGTTAAGACCCAGACCTGTGAGGAGGCGAACATGAATACATGCAGTGACAGCACAGTGAATACAAGACTGACCTTGATGCCGGCCATCTGCAGAGTGTGAATTGTGTCCGGCACGCCATCCTGCAATTTGTCCTCGATGGCAGTCGCCCCCAAAAGGAGCATATCCTTCTCAATGAGCTCTGCCGCGCTATCGAGTGCCTCACCACGGCCATTGATCGTTGCCGCTGCCTGGTCGTAAATAGCAGACCACTGCCGGTACTCCGGCTCAGGGATATCGCGGGAGGCGATGCAGAGCGTCCGCAGGCCTTCGGTCGCGTAGTCCTCTAGATGTACGAGCGTCTTCTCCGTATACGGCTGGTTCTCCGCGAGTCGTTCCAGGATGACCGTGTCCGCGCCCTTACAAAAGAGCTTGATTTTGCCGTTTGGACACCGCACAACAGTCGACATGCGCTTTCGAGTTGAGTTGAACTCGCAGATGTTCAAGATCTGGAATTCGTACGATGTTCCCTGAATGTTGACGAAGACCGACTTGGGTTTGCGGGTCTAGGTGGACGATCACGTCAGCGCGAATAAAGAAGGTTCATACGAACACCTACGTGGAACTGGTATCCGAGTAGTTCTGCGCCCGCCACCAACGCGGCTTCGTCTGGACTGCTCGCCTGGTAGTGGAACTTCCCGTCCCGCATCTCAGGGATGACGGTGTGGCACACAGCCAGAAGGGTTAGGAATTCGTTCACGACCTCCTTCTGTATCTGGCTGCCAGAGTCGGAAGACGCGAAATCACTGAATGGATTGTCTCCGCCGCCCAGGAGCGTCTTCATCTCCGCGAAGGTCTTCCAGCCCTCTTTTCCGTCCTCGCCCTCGCCGCGCCTGCTCTCCTCAACGACGTCGGCGTATGCGACGCCGCCAATGGAGCAGAACCGGAACTCCATTTCGTTGCAAGTCAGCGTACCCGTCTTGTCACTGAAGACGTACTCAATTTGCCCGAGCTCTTCCACGAGCGAGGACGTCCGGCAGAGTGCGGGTGTGTCCGTCTTGGCATAGTACATGTCCAGGTCCGAGTTGATCAGTTGCGCCTGCTGAAACTTGACCACCTCCATCGTGACAATGAGTGAGATTGGGATCAGGTTGTTATAGAGAATAATGAACGTGAGGATGTCTGTGTGGCTGTTAGGCTTAGTACACCTCGTATGGACTATGACACGGACCTTCAATGAACTGCTTCGCTGTGAATAGTGTAGGTGAGATGTGAACGTGTACTTGTACATCTACAACGCACCTCTGCCACCAATGGTTGACTGCTCATAGAGATACCACTCCGCTGCCGAGTAGAACCACTGCCATAGAAGTCAGCAACAAGGCAACAGCCTCGCTTTAATGCCGACACTCACAGTTCGAATGCTGGCACCAATAGTCGAACCAATAGACAGGGCCAGGAGAAGAATGAAGAGAAAGATAATGTGCACGTTCACCTGCTTCTCGACAGCCGTCCGCTTGATTGGTGCGGCCCTGTGTTTCACTCGTCAGGATCAATCGTCAGTCATGCGTGCTGCACTCACGTCGCGTTCCGCATGAGCTTCGTTTCGTGACCAGTAAATACCACAAGACCATACGTCCATGGCGTGTTCCTGATCTGTGCACCACGGAGCAGGAGTTGATCGGGTCCAAGAGGGATCTGCTTGGGTACACCGAGGTCGGTTACCAAATCTAGCGTAGCCTCGTAAGTGTAGAGACTGTTATTGGGCTGTTCCGACCGCAATGCGCCATGCAGCGCCGTGACAAGATGTGGGGAAGTGAGGTGGGCAGTTTGAGGGGATGCTTGCTTGATCTTCAAGTTTGTCTCACTTGCAGCGACACAGACACTGAGCGTGACAGATCTGGAACAGCGGCAATGAGACTCACCCGTCCAGGTTAGATGTCTCAATGTAACAGAAGCCCTCTGGTTCACTAGACGAGAGTAGGACGGCGTCGGCTGGGATGTGGTCGTCACTTTCTAATCGTATGACGTCGCCGACGGCGATGTTCTTCCACTTTTTCTCAGCGAACGTCCCCTCGGGTGTCAGTACCTTCGCTTTGCGTGAGTTCAGTTCAGAGTCGGATTGGTGCCTTTTCTATTCGCATAGTCAGACGACGTGTACGGCGGCAATCCGGGCTGCGAAGTGAAGCCTGAAGAAACGTGCACTCACCAAATCTTCCTGGGTTTCCTTGAATGCAGAAGCCAGGAGCACCACCGCAAGTGGTCCAATAGTCGTCCAGCGGTTCGTAGGTGATACATTGGGTATTTGCTGAATGAGCGCCGTGAAGAGGAAGAACAAGTTCGCGTATTTCGAGAACTGCTCTGTCGGGGGGTGAGAGCGAGACACCGAGGCCAAACACGACGTGCGCACCAAAAAGGAATTTGGGAACGAACGTGACAATGTTGTACTTGCTCGTGGAGACATAATTTGAGGAGTACTCGACGTTGGCATCCGGGTTGTTGAGCGCAACGATGCGGTCGCCGGGCAATACCTGATCCCGCTTCTGCCACGGCCATCTGAGTTTCTTGACTTGTCCGACCAACGACCTCGACGATCTTCGCTTGTGGGTGGGCTTTACACCTTTGCTATGACCTAACCCTCCCGCCTGCTTTAAACCTTGAGGCTCGTCGTCATCAAAGGACCAGTCGGGCGGTATGGCGGCGGTCGTCAGCGTGAGCTGAGAATGTCCGGCAGGTGCAGCACCAGCACGAGAGAACGGAAGGCCGCTGTCTTGTGACTTCATTGCAGCCGG